GAAATTACAAGCATATCCATTATTAGTACTTTCCATGTGGGTTAATCAGGCGGTACATTGTCTGACGGATTGCAAGATTAGTGGCACTGAAAGTACTGTTATCTTTGGACTCGTTGAGCGTTCATCACAGCACCATTTTGAAATGAAAAATACGTCTAGCAAGCTTTTGATACGTGAAAAGTGCAGTTGAAGAGGGAATGAAATAGACCAAGGCTCAGATTAGAAAGAAAATCTGACTTGTACTAAAGGTTATTTTTGCTATAATTCTTTGACCTTTTATTGACCACTACTAAAGAAAGTCACCTAGTTTGCTTAGATAGATGATGATGATACGTGAATGAAAAAGAAGAAAATAATGAGAAAACTTGCAATGAACAGAGCCTGAAAAAAAGAAAGAGAAATAGAGAAAAATGAGAATTTGCTTTGAATGAATGAGTAGAGAAGGAAAGATTAATATGATAGAAAAAATAATAAAGAATATGATAAGAAGAAAAGATAGAAGAAGGCTCTCCCATTACATGCTTGAAATGATTGTGTATGAGGTTGTTGTCACAAGCATGGTTGAGGAGATGTTGTCTTTGTTTTTTGTTTGTTATGTATTGATGCCGTTGTATGATGCTCCCTAAATGATTCGTAGATTTTATATGGACTATGTAAGCTTTTGCGAATTTTAGATATTTGTCATTTATTACTAGTAATGGGATATTAAGACGAAATGAAAGTAGAATATATGAATATGTTGGGATATGAAAAGAGAGGCGCGAAGAAAAAAAAGGAATAGATGAAAAAGATTGAAGAAGTTAAATTTAAATGATATTGATAGTAAACGGATAGTTGGCTCTCACATTGTGAATTTTAGGTTTTCGATGCGAAAAGATTGTAGTATGAACTTAATCATTTTTTTCTGTTACTAATAACGTAGATCGAATCAGTTTCAGGTGTTCGGATAAAGAATCTCCAAAATGAAGGTTTGGTTTTTTTTCCACATTTACGATTTGCGGTTGTTCCAGAAAGTATAAGTGTCAAATTTCGACTGTTTATTTCATGCAGTTTTTATCTCGACTGAACCTGTTATAATCAATCTCATTGTTGCATTCTCATTTCAACAATATTATCAGTTATGACTGTCCAGAGTTATCTATATCTTGCGTAGTCGTTTCAGTATTGTTCAATGGTTTGCGTAGTCGTTTCAGTATTGTTTAATGTGCAGAAAAGTTTTGGGCAGTTGATTCTGCAGCTTTTTCACCGGATTGTGCTGTGATACAGCTTTTTTTAATACAAATCCAGCTTAATTACAAAGGGATGATTGAATCCTTCTGTAACCCAAGTATAAAGTATGGGATACTTGTAACAATCAAATACATTAAAGAATCTTAAATGGACCAGATGATCTGGTCGACAAATTGAAAGTAATAGTACAAAACTTCCGATTTAGTCAAATGCAAACAAATGACAGCACGAAGAATTCTGGCAGTTTACTATAGTGATATAGTATTCTACACTCATCTCTACTCGCCAATCCTTTAATCTGCACTCTGGTTTCCGACTAGGGTTCATTATTTCTTGCAAGTTAAGTAAACCTTTATTGGCGTGAAATAATAGATAACTTAAAATTGCTCTAAATGCAACAGAAACACTAACAAGATATCTCTTTATCAGAAGTCGGAAATAATTTGTTTATTACATGAAGCAGTATCTAGTAATATTGCCAAATATTCAAATCCACCGGCACTTATAATTTCACTCATGCGTATAATATGGGATTTTTCGACTTTTGTTCATTTGCATTATCGCATTATTAATATAAACAAGGACGTGGTGAAAATTGTCGAGAACTCGTAAATTGTCATCTGGTTTCATTAATACTCCATGAGATGCTCCACTGATTTATTATTTGATTTATTCGTGTATTATTGGCTTATTCAATTCTTTATGGTTATTTACTTCCCATGATCAAAAGTAAATGCTGAGTTTTTTCCATCTAAATGTTTTGTCTGAAGTTTCTTAAATTTTTACTACTATTAGAAAGCTATATTTAGAGTAATTTGCAGTCCTCTTTTAGTATTCTACGTTGTTTTGAATTCTTTTTAACGTAATCTCCTAGCCATTTGGTTCTAAAGTTCTAAAATATCTAAAAATGAAAGGCTCTTCTAGTTTTTGTAAGTGAAATTATTATTGTGTACTTTGTAAGAAAATTATTCTCAAAAAATGTTAATCATTTGTGCTACAAAGCTCTTGATGCCGAGAATTAATGATGACGAGACTGATAAAGTCAACAATTATTTCGACTCATTACTGATAAAGGAGTTGTTTTCGAAAGTAAAAGCAGTAAAAAATCTAGTAGGTAATTTATATTTGGTGAATTCGTCGAAAATCACGTTGTCTTTCGTTTACTTTTACATTGTTTCTTGTTTACATTTATGAAAAACTCAGTACTTTTTCTTGAATATTAAAATACTGAATGCATCAAAGAGAAATGAATCACCCAGATTCACTAACTTCTGCCGACTTTAAATTCTCTTTTCTCACGCTGTCTACATCATATTATTGTAAGAAGATCACAATTTCAATACAGAATATGATCAGTAATTGTATGACTTGATAATTATACGAAATTGAAATTTAAAATGTCTCATTGCAATTGTTATGGTAAGCATCGATCTTAAATGTTCTCAGTCCTACCGAAAATGTGAGCGAAGTAATCTCGCTCACATTTGAAAATCAATTCAAAGCATTTTTCATGGCACCAAATTTCTTCATTTTTGAAAGAATCATGAGATTACGTAAAAGCAAAAATGATGACCTGAACGGTTAGGCATGTGTGCTTAGTGGCAATAATGAACTGAAAGTAGATTTTCTCTATATTCATGCCGTATTATTGTTCTCAATTCGGAACTGAGTCATATATCATCAATTCATCGTAAAATTATGCTTACATCAAGTGTTTCAGGAATGCGCACGGTTGACTAGTAATTATGGAATGAGCAGATCAAATTGACATTCATCTAAATTAATGTAAAACTTGTAAAGTGGGCCAGGTTTCCAGCTTATCGAAAGCATATCTTGAGTGGAAAATTTAACCGAATAATAATGATATTAACATTAATATACAGTACCGTACTTACCATTAGAATTTTCGTCATACACTCAGCAGGTAGTAACTGACTATGATATTATTTTTGTGATCACAATAACGTAAGGCTTTTAATAATCGGCATGGTTTTCTTTTTTTGAGAAAAAGAAATAGTGGTGCAAATAATTGAAACACACGTGGAACAGAAATAAACTTAAAGATGATGTTAAAGTACTAGTCAAGTAACAGGAAATCAATAATCGTTCACGAGCATGAAATATTACATCATTAGCTAATTGTAGAAACTGATCGGATCAAAATTTTTTGTTCATTTGATAAGGCGAGGTAAAGATCAGCTAAAGTATCATTCATATTGAGGTCATTTTTCGTATCTGAAAGATAGAGTCGAAAATCAGTCGGTGGGCCGGGTTTCCGGCTTATCGAAAGCAGCATGATTATTGCTTCATAACACGTTGTTCGAGGAGAAATGAATAATGACTTGTAATTACTCTGAAAATATTGAATTTTAAAAGTAATGATATAAGAAAAAAAATAAAAATAAAACTTCACTCCTCTAGTTTAATTTGTTATTCAATAACAAATGTAATATTAAGTTAATTTGTAAAAGTAAACTAAATTGTAAAAGTATGAACCATTAGGAAAGAATGTGAAATTTATTTTATACCTGAGGTGTGATTAAATAGTCATATATTCTCACGAGGACGCCATTTGTGGACATTGTCATGAGAAATCGAGACATCTGCATAGGATGACATCGCTGAAGTTCAAGTGGTCGTGCATTTCGAGGAAGCAGCAGAAAACTCTTCACCTAAGGATTTAAAATCTGTCATTCTGAACTTGTTTTGGCCCTTTTACAAACCATTTTTCATAAAATTTTTCATTTTTCAGACAAATTTTTATGTATATGTAAAAATTCTTGCATTATTTAAGTCTAAAAAATGTATCACTGAATTAGAAATTTCAATACATGTGATCAAAAATGTAAGAACGAAATATAGTAGAGACGGAATATTTAGATAATTAAAAAATTTGTGCTATATTTTATTGGTCAAAATACTAAAATATTTGCTTATTTTTAAAGTGAAGAAAAACAAGAAATATTATTTGTTTTAACAATATTCAAAAAAGTAAAAAAAAGCAATTTTATAGTAAGCTGTTTGTGCATACTAAAAGCAAAATATGGTTTTACTTGTTCTCCATGATATCGAGTCCAGACTTCCATAATAATTTCGAATAAGTTTGGATCTTTGCAAGATATGCGAAATTTCATCAAAATTATATCTACAATATTTTTCACCGTATGACTTGTTGAAATTTTTAACGTTTTATAATCTGTATCCTCTTTGATATCACCTGTATAGATGCGTAATGTACCCTATAAATATTGTCTTTAATTTATAAGTAACTATAAACTCTCGAATCATTTTTCAGTTTGAGGATAAAAATTAAACTTTCACGAAATGAAGCAAAAATAGCTAAATATGCAGTTTAGAATTTAATCACTACATAAACGCATAACTTATTAATGACACTAAAAATATAATCTAAGTATCATTTATTTTCACTAATTTTGACCTCGTAAGCATTATTCTATATAACTTGATACTGAGTTCTATTTTTTATTGAAATTGAATTTATTTGTTTTGAGTGAAACTCAAAGATTTGAAAAAAACATTTTTATCTAGAATGAAACTTATTTAGTTCAGTCAGTGATATTAAGAATGGATCTTTTTGCCTCAGAATATTTGATGAATTATAGTACTATACTTTGATTTGTATTTACTGAACAAAGAATATGAAATTAGAAATTTGCTTAGATTTGATCATTATACTTCATTTTTTCGCTTGTTTAGGATAATGTAGAATAAAAGAAAAATTTTTGTAAATACACTAAATAAAACTGCAGTAATGTTTTGGAAAAGTAAATGCGAAAATCGAACCCATTCATTGGAATCGCCACTATCCACAGAACTTAATGAACTTAAAGAATTGGACCTATCTCGAATGTAAATTCTGGTTTCATGAAGTGATGGAGATGAAGATGACGATGAAGATGAAGATGGCTTATGACTAAAAGGTAATGATAAAGTACTACTTCTGCTTTCATTACCATCAGTTTTGTTGCAGAATTTATTAGACCGCACTTGATATTTGAGCATTTGGAAGTATACCACGAATCATAGATTTGAAATATTCTTACCTGAAAGTTTTCAATTCATAACTAATTTCGAAAATTAATTAATCAAACTGTCCGAAAAAAAATTCAGCACAAATAATACTACATTACTTGCTGAGTTAATCAATCACTTATCGATGGATGTCGCTTGTACATTACGTTTTAAGCTTTATCTTGTAATCATTTTTTTTTCTTTTACATGAATATTTGTAAAAAAAAAGTTCATCTATAATTTTATCTACATCTTAGAACTGATATATTTCTGTTTCATTCAATTGCAAATAACAATGGCAGAAAGGATGGTGGTGGCGTCTGAGGAGGAAATCATGAAGGAAATAATTAATAATAATGGTAACTGATGTAGAAGTGAATAAGATATCCAATAAGATAAAGAAAGAAATTGGATTTAAATCTTATTGCTTTAAAATGCTGAAAAGATTAATCAGAACTGGTATTTTTATCATTTGTATATGCAAAGTATGAAAAATGAGCCAAAATCATGATTTTTCTCTTTTAGTGGTTGTTTTATATTTTTCTGTAATCATTCATATTCATATTATACGCAAAAATAAGCATAAATAGCACTGTGAATTATAGAGCATAACTTAATAATATAAATAATGAATTAAGTTTAAAGAGATTTTAAAGAGATTAAATGATTAGATACATTACGCATATATTTAAAATTTTGATTTATTTTAGGTATGTTATTTATTTATTTGTTTATCATTATTTAAATATTAAAGAAGCACGCGTCATTTGATCATAATTAGTTTTGAAAGTGGCAATGAACACCTGACAAAATGTTAATGTTAATTTAATAATGTTTGTCTCCAATCATTTGCTATTTATATTTTTAATTATATGCAATCAAAAAGGAAGAATAATAATTGGTGGACAGCAAGTAGGCAAAAAACAAAGTGAATGGAAAAGAATTATTTTTAAAAATTAATACAGTTACTCGTGAACCTGAACAATACTGGTTTCTGAGGCTTATTACTTGCTTAGAAACAAGCATCTAGAGCGAATGCTGAAATTGCTTTGAGGAATTGATGAAATTAAGTAGAAATAATGAGATAAATACGCTCTATTTGTATTTTTAGTTTTAAAGTTTTTAATAAATAAAAGTTGACACTGAAAAATTGAGCAGTAATTTACGATTTGAAGTATGTCATTTCAGCAAGAATGTGAGCTGCTATTACATCAGTTATCAGTAATAGCAACTGCTGAAGAAAATCAGTTTCAATACAAAAGTTGTATAAAATAACGATTTCTTTTGTAGTACATGTAGTTAATGAAGTATAATGAAACGATATGGGTACGCTGAAGCGGCTTTTTATTATTTAGAAAATTTCTGATACATAATATTACGAATAGATAGATATGCAATCTGAGTACAGCTACGAAATTTGTTGTTGCGGTCATTATTTTAAGGGTCAAGAACATTATTGCAGAGGTCAAGTGTCGGAAAAGATGAGGGATATTATTACCTGTAGATGCTTCTCGTAATAGTTACTATATTTACTAGCATTGTAACATTTCACATTTAAGAAAAGCATGACCGGTGATTTTTTCCCTCTTACAATTCTGCAAAACAATAATTAATATAAACTGATATCATTTCTATTCTGAATACTTGCAGAAAATAAAGAACTAATAGATTGAAGTTTAAATTAAAAAAATTCAGCGTTCAAATTATTAAATAATTTATTTGCGTAAAATAAATTGAATAGCGATACAAGATTCAGTATCCGATCTGATTACCTATATAATATAATATGCGAACGATATATACCAAAAACGTCATGAATCATAATTTTATGCTCAAGGGCAATAATCATCTCTTTAATAATGCGTGATCATCATTGTTCATTTTAATCGTGAAATTTAGTTTTTATAAAGCATAATTAATAATTACATGCAAATATATGTACTTTTATTGCAATACAAAGTTTTAGCATTCGGAATTATGTATATATGTAATCGTTGATATATTGATTTAATCTCTGAGAAATAATATAAATGCTTTTATAAACTTTATTGTAGTTATCACCAAATTTAAATAACCTAAAATTAATATTACTGCTATTATTCAGTGCTACATTTTGTATTTTACATCTACTTACCAATGCTCATTCATACATCTTCCGTATCCATAAAAAAAAGAGATTCAGACATGTGAAGCATATTTTTTGACATGTTAATACTTTCTCAATGAACCGAAATATTACATAATGTTAAGACTCAGAATACAACACAATGACTAGACAGCAATATATATACTTAAATAACTATTTAAAAAGAAAATAATATTGCAAAGATACTGGCAAAAATTGTTGGGAAAATATTGACAGTGATAAAAGGTAATAAAAAACAGAACTTTCAAAGTTATACGAATTATTGTAACTGTTATTCAAGCATATGACTAACTAGCTTCAACTTTAAAAAACAACAATAAATTCAAAAAATACCACTCAAAAAAGCCATCAAGAATACCATTAACTTCCACAGATGCTCAGTAATTAGAGAAACAATAATAATAATATTAATATAATATACAATGAAAGCTAACAGATGGATACATCAACAAGATAATATCATATACTTCTCTTGCAGTCGCAGTATATTTTTACAAAATCACATTTTATCAACTAAACTCCGAAATATGGCTCATATAATTGACCATATAGTGATCAAACTCAATTTTTTATTTTTCTCGATTTTTCCGGAAATGATTTTGTTTCAAGAAGAATTAGCGAAAGCTGAGAAGATAGCAAATTCAAAATGGATAGTGAAGGAATTATTTTTACTCATTGAAAAGTTAAGAGTTAAAATTTTTTAAAAACATTCATATACTTTTATCGAAAAAATATGTATTTAAGTAGCTGCCTGCACAAAACCATTACATCAGCTAAGCATAATAATATTAACAGGAATAATAATATTAACATAAATCACGATGATCATAGCCATAATGATAGTAATAAATGATAACAATAATGATAATAATAATAATAATGATAATAATAAGTGCAAAGAAAGCAATTATGAATGCCCATCGATTACAGCAAGTTAATGACAAATGATGATGAAAATAAGTTGATAGATATTTAAAATTAGAAGAATCATTTCATGTGTACACACACACCTGTTAATTTAATTCAAGTTGTTAATGGGAAAATGACAAGAGAAGACCAAACGTGTAGGAAGTGTAGTTCATATCGTGAAATTTGCAAGTAATTGCAATATTATTTGCATGCAAATAATTGCTGTTTGATTAAAAAAGACGAATGAGCAGAAATTGCATAGAATAATTAAAAGTGTTAAATTAAGATAGCTTTATTTAGAAAACAAAAATATTAGCATTAATAAATTATTGTGACTACAATAAAATAACAAAAATAACAATAATAAACTATTTCATTATTCAACAATGAAAATATCAAAAAATTTTGCAATCAAAAAATCAAAATAATGCATTTGATTACATTTTAGGTGAGTTTCAAATGAAATGTAGAAATTAGCGTGAAATTGTTTATCATTTTTATAAATGCTCACATTGAAAAAATTATTTGTATTTGTTTAATGTGTGGATATAATTTATAACTGCATTAAAAATTCAAAAATAAATTAATTTCACTAATTTAAAACTGAAAAATTAAAAAATAAAATTTGAATTTTAAGTAAGTTTTTAACTCATTCAACACTGACAGCAACAAATGGTATCTATTATCAAAATATGCGTAATATTTCTGAAAACATCCTTAAAAGAATGCTTTAGAATTTTTAACACACTTAACATCAAATTTGTTCGCAGTGATGTCGACAATACGAATTATTAATGGATGAAAGTAAGCAAAGTAAGCATATAATAGCTTTTAGATAGACAGATCAATGCGGAATGAACGATAGCGACAAAATGAGACAGATTATGAGTTTTGGGCATATTTAATGCGTAGATACATAGATAGATAAGTAAAGTAAATTTTGATTCAAATATTATATCTTTTATTTCTTATCATTTGCTCAATAATATTTTTCTGCCTCAAAGCTTAAATCTCACAGAAATCTACTTGATATATTCAGAATAATTTGAAAAAATAAGTCATTTTTTATTGCAGTATTTTCATGCAGAATAATTGTCAATTTGCCAAAAGCAAATTGCATATTCATATTTTCAGCGCTGCAATAATCGAAACTTTGATCTAAATTAAGAAACTGAGTGGGAAGTAAATAAAGTTTTTATAGATTTAATTGTTTAATTATTATAAAGCAATCATTTTGCGGGATGAAATTTAAGTAGAACGTTTGTAAAAATTTGGAAAAATTAAATCACTTATAATAACTTGTAATGCAATTTTGTCAACAAAATTTTTTGAAATCAATAATCTTACTCAATTTTTTAATTTGTATCGGAATTTTTATTCATGTAATTGAGAAAAAACTGCTTAAATTGAAATTTATAAATAATAATAACTTGAACTTTTATAGATGATAATAACTTGCCATTTATAAAAGTTAATAACAGAAAAGGTTGTTTTTGCAAGCTGGGAAGGATAACTTTTCCTGCGATTACAAATACAGTCGTAGTGAAATTATTAAAGTTATCGGCGATACATGAAAAAAAGATTTGCACCTGTTGTGATAATAAAAAAAATGAATGATTATTAAGTTGAAAAAATTAAAATTCTACTGAAACATTCGGAACAATAATGAGGCTGTGAAGATTATGAATTTCAACGACTTCAAAAATTAACGCTTAACAGAAAGCAAAACGATAAATTATAACTAATGACTATGAAAGATTGTAAATACTTATTTCTTTGTTAAAAAAACATATTTTCAAAACAATAATAGCAGTATGCATAATTTATCATTAGAATATTTCCGGTTAAAGAGACATGAAAGTATAAATAACTAATTCCTTAATCTTCATTGTTGCAGAAATACAATAGATAGTGTTAGCAAAGGTCAAAATCAAGC